TGTCGAAGATTGCTAGTTTGCTTGGGTAAACCTCTCCAATGTGATCGTTTAATCGCCTCCATGGATAGACTTTCCTATGCTCGAGTCCTTGTGGAACCGAATATTATGGAAACTCTCCCCGGATGGTCGGCATCCTATTATCGAATAATACCACCCTCTTGCGACCAAGTGGTTTATGAGACTCTACCCGTTCATTACAAAAATTGATGTATACTTGGGCATTCCACCGCTGCATGCAAAAATCGAGCTCCTTTGGATTTGAGTAAGGAACCCACCAATGGCGATGAAGGCTGCTGGCGGGCGAGCCGGAACTAGTGTTTTCCGGTGGCCGGGTGATTCGCCGAGGTGCGCCGGCCACAATCCACTCACCTCCCGACCCCATGCTACTGCGAGGTTGCTCGAGTGGGAGATAGTTAAGCGCAAAACACACTCTTACAGAGCTACCGATAAAGGTAAACATGTTATGGTTGATTCTACCATAGGTCCGGCATCCCCTTCTAACATTGAGCTGATTGAGGTTCGGCTTGGGTTGGCGGGTTGTAGCAACGGGGACACGGGTGGGGCCGAGCGGCCACATTGTTGACCAAGCCGGACAATAGGGCCATCATGCCGGGGGTAGGTCAATTCGGGGTACTTGTAGGAATGGCTCTCCCGATAGACAAGATAGTGGCAAGTCCGGGCCTCCCATCACGAGGTCCGTACTCGATAAGGAAGCCGAATGCCTTAATGTTCCAGCTTCCCTTGGGGACACCGGTTTAGACCCCCAACCGGACAAGAAGAGCGGACTACCGGGGCCACTTCACCTAGGCGGGTTGCCGGCAGAGAGGTAATAAAGGGTAGAAACGGGGGTCGAAAGGGCTCGGCCTCTTCCGCTCGTCCATGATTATCTATAGCTGGAATATCGGAGGACTTAATAGTCCTCCGAAACAACATGAGGCGAGTGGGTCTCATGAAGAAAAAGAAGGTTGATGTGTGTGCCTTCGTTGAAACAAAACTCGGTTCGCTAAACTTGTCAATATGCATCGGCGTAGACTCGAAGCAATGGAGCTTTATGTCTAATGTTGCGGTAGCGGGAAATGCCCGCATTGCACTTTTCTAGAATTCAAGCACCTTCACAGTTGATATGTTGAATGTTTCTATTTAAGGTCTCAATGTTAGGATCACCGACCTTGTGCGGCAGCTATCCTTTAATGCCACTTTTGTTTATGGGTTACACTCCATCACAACTAGAAGAGGGTTGTGGGCTGATATTCGTTAGTGGCGGTCGAACCGCCCTTGGATTATTCCAGGGAACTTTAACTCAATTCTCTCACATGCTGATAAACATAAAGGTGCTACTGTCTCTAACTACGAAACCGTCGACTTTAGAAGTTGTTGCTCAAATCTTGGGCTAACGAACCTTAACTATATGAGGAGCCATTTACTTGGAATGGGGTTGATGTATGGACAAAAATCGATAGATTTACGGCTAACCCTTTTGGTCCTCCACCGAGCGACTCGCTCATGTTCATTTTGGCCCTCCCGGTGCTTTTTCGGATCATTCTCCAATTATGGTACACTTGGGCTCCCGTGTTCATTCCGGGACTCGAAACTTCAAATTCTTCAATATGTGGGCTGCCCACGTTGATTTTTGAGAACTCGTGGCCGATTTTTAGGAAGCTAGAATCGGTGGCACCCTAATGTATGTCCTTTGTCGCAAATTGAAATCTCTCAAGGAACCACTCAAGAAGCTAAACACACTCCATTTCAGCCACATCTCCCAAAGGGTGGTCGGGGTCGAATCTAACTTGGTCGCACTACTGATTGAGCTCCGGTTAGATAGAGATAATTTGGAGCTTTTTCGGAATGAAAAGAGGCTCGGCTCCATCCGGTTAATCTCAAAGCCTCGAAAAAGATATTATTTGGTTAGAAATTAAAGTGCAAGTTCCTTAAGGATTGCGACAAAGGCACTAGTTTCTTTCATCACCTTATGAATCAAAAGCACAAAACCAACCATATCGCTGCAGTTAAACGGCGAGATGGGCGACTCACTACCTCTATTACGAAGTAGGAGAGGAGTTTGTTTCCTATTATCAAAACCTTTTTGGTACCACTAAAGATATTGTGCCCTTTGACTCGCATATTGTTGCTAGTGGGTCTCGATTACAAATGGCCGGCCATGATCGGCTTCTCTCCTTGGTCACGATGGATCTCATCCGGAAGACACTATTCGAGCATAGACAATGATAAAGCATCGAGCCCCGATGGATACCCTTCCTTCTTCTTCAAACGAGGCTTGGGAAATTATTGGGAGAGACTTTTGCATAGTGGTTAAAGAGTTTTTGTATCCGGAAAGCTCCTCAAACAAGTTAGCCACTCCGTTGTAGCTTTGGTCCTAAAAATGGCCAATGCTACCTTGCCAAGTGACTATAGACCAATCTCTTGCTGTAATGTTGTTTACAAGGTGATTACCAAGATCATTTCCTCCTGGCTATCCTTGGCTCCGATGGATATAATTAGTCCTATGCGGAATGCCTACTTGGAGGGTCGAAAAATGTCGGACAATATTTGCTTGGTTCGGGAGTTGCTTCGAATGTATGGACGAAAGCGATCTTCTCCAAGGTGCCTAATGAAGGTTGATTTCCGTAAGGCCTTTGACTCCGTGCGATGGGGTTTCTGAAACGACTTTTATTACAATTAGGCTTCCCGGATAGATTTGTTGGTTGGATTATGACATGTGTTGAATCGGCTTCCTACTCCATTTCGTCAACGGGGGCTCGTTGGGGCTCTTCCCGGGAAAAGCGGGTGTTAGGCAAGGTGACCCCCTCTCTCCCTACCTATTTGTGGTCCGCATGGAATACTTCTCTCACTTACTACGGAGTTGCTTGCAAGGAATTCTATCTTTCGCTTCCACCCTCGATGTGGAAACCATGCCATTACCCATCTAGCATTTGCAAATGATGTCTTGTTGCTTTGCCGTGGAGATGTTGCCTCTATCGAGATTCCGTCCGACCGGCTATCAATCTTTGAGAGTGTATTCGACCTAGCCATTAATGTGGCCAAGTCCTCAATCTTCTTCGGTGGGGTGGGAAGTGACTTGAAAAACTCCATCCTCCATGAAGCCGGGTTTTGTGAGGGTTCTTTCCCCTTCAAATACTTGGGGGTCCCTCTAAGCCCTCATCACTTGCTTGCTAGCCGGTTTACCCTTTTGCTATATAGTCTTGAATCCGCGATTCGGAGCTGGATGGGAAAACATCTATCCTATGCGGGTAGGTCGGAACTCCTCAAGTCCGTCCTCTTTAGCATGATACAATTCGGCTTGCTATTTTTCCTATGCCCGTTGTGGTTATTGCACGTATCACCGGTATGTGTCGGAATTTTTTATGGATGGGAGATGTCAATAGGAGCTCTTTGGCTTTAATGGCTTGGAAAAGCCTCTCGCTCCCCTAAATCGGAAGGTGGCCTAGGAGTCTTTGACATCAAAGTGAAAAACCAAAGTTCTCTAGTTAAAAGGCTGCGGGACATTCACCTCGAGGTTGACTCCATTTGGATTCGTTGGATCCACCACTTCTATTTGCAAGATTGTCGAGTGTGGGATGCTCGTCGCCCATCGCAATGCTTCACCGTTGTGGAAAGCTATTCTCGATGTGAAAAACTTGCTTGTTGTGAAATATGAGAGTAAAGATACGGCCATATGTGAGCTTTCTAGGTGGAACTCGGGAGAGGGAAGTTTCTCTAATATTGCATACACACGGCTTAGGCCGCGGGGGCACCGAGTGTCTTGGGGTAAGATGATTTGGGAGTCATGGTCCATGCCACAACATTCCTTTATTCTCCGGCTTGCGGCTAGGGGTGCCTTAAAAACTAAGAACCGTCTCCATTTTCTCGCCTACCAGGTGATGCATGTCTTCTTTGTGATCAAGCTTCCGAATCACTTAACCATTTATTCTTCTGCTACCCTTGGACGGCTAACCTCTAGTCAAAAATTAAGCGATGGCTAAGAATTCGCAGAGGTATGCATACGTTCACTAGTGCTATCGGAGGCCTCTCCTATCATTGTAACAACCTTGAAGCGAAAATGAGGAGAGTGGCCCTTAATATCATGGTTTATGTCATCCGGGAAGAAAGAAACGAGCATGCCTTTGATGCCTTGGCTAGCTTGGTAGACAATGTGTTTCGTAAATTCTAGATTGTTTTCTACATGGTATTCTATTTTCATGAATCGGACCCCTCCTCTTATCCGTGGGCTAGCCTTGATTTCCTCGGTGAGTTTATAGCATTCTCTTCCGGTCGGGTTGTTGCTGATTGGTTCTCTAGATTTAGGTCTTCTTGTGTGTTGTCCGGCTACTCTTCTAGGTTCTCGAGTCGTGTTGGTTTTCCTGGTTTGGGGCTATGTTCGTTCGGGGTTTGTGCCTTTGTTTGCGCTCGTTTCGTCCTGTTGAGTTTCACCACTTGCCAACTCCTTGGCTACTGCCACAGATTGGTCAAACTTGTTTGGTCTTGCTTCTACTTATGGGTTATATTATTCCATGCCCGGCAGGTTCCTTCGACATATTCGAGTCCGGTCGCAAGCCTACTTGCTTGTATGGGTGGGCTCGGGCTTCGGTTTGGTTGGGCTGTATGCCTTGAGCTCGGCTTCTGTTTGGTTGGGCTGAATGGGCGCTCTTGTCATTGGTCCGGTTGTAGAGTTTTTTATGCTCTCTAGTTGGTTTGGGTTTGGGTGCTATGCCTTTGTTGTTTTGCCTCTAGTTGGCCTTGCCTTGGGCGACTTGACGTGTCCGCCTCCCCATGGCCTACCAGTGCTGCGGTTCTCAATCTAATTGAGCTTCACCGAGCTAGGTCTACTCGTTGTGTTCAGCCCCTTATTTATTTATCTTCTTGTGGAGGCCGGGCTTAGCCTCCCCTCTTAGGCTATCCAGCGACTTCCTCACGTTCCTGTTTGTGCCGGGCAGCTGCTTTGGGTGCTTCTTTGTGTTGGCCTACTCGTGGCTTAGGTACTTACCGGTTTATGCTCTTGGTAGGATGGAGGGGTCCGGTTGGTAGGAGGTGGGGTTCAACCCGGGGTAAGTTCCTGCTTGGGCATCTACTCGTTTGTGCTCGCCAGGCACCTATTGGTTCTCGTTTCTCGTCCCGCTGCGAGGTCTAGCCTAAATTTTTGCTCCCCATTGGCTCTCTCGCTAAGCTCCGGCGCTCGTCGCTCCAGCCTAGCTCCCGTTTCTCCTTCTTTTGTCATGCGGTCTCATCCCTTGTCCAGCTTCGTTGATAGGCGGGCCCTCCCTGCTCATAGCCTCTCCGCACGCTTTGGCGCTGTTGCTTCGTCGGTCCCTATTGTTTCGTCGAGCTAGCATCCGGCTCTGTAAATTAATGGTCGTTATTTTGTATATTGTTGGTTTTCATTTAGTGCTAAATCGGCAAATTTTTTGTATGCTTGGAGAGCCTATGTAAATGGTTCCGGTTAGCTAGCACACGGTCCCTATCTGGTTTTTCTCAAAATCTCTCGCAACTATTTGTTTCCTTGAATAACCATCTAGGGCTAGCTCATTATTTTTTTTCTTTAGGAGCTCGTTCCTAATTTTTATACATCCTGTAAATGCTACTCTTGCTTGGTTCTTTTTCCGGATGGTTTCCTTTGATTTATATACTTACTTTTAAATAAAAAAAGAAGAAGAAAGAGCTCTCGGTGGTAGCTATTTATGAGCTAGCACAATGGCACTCTAAAGGGGAAACTTCTCCCGTATAGCCTATGCCCATCTCCGACCGGAAATGAACTCAACGAGGTGGGGCCGTGTGGTTTGGGAATCTTGGTCCATGCCAAGGCATGCATTCATTCTATGGTCGGCTACAGGAGGTGCTTTAAAAACTAAGGCCCATCTTCAATTTCTCCTTACCAGCGAAGCCTCGCCTTCTCCGTGGCCAAGATAACGAGTTGCATGGTCATTTTTTTTTCCTGTGATTGGTCAGCTGCCCTCCGGCTAAAAATTAAGAGTCGGCTTTGAATTAGAAGAGGTATGTCTACTCTTTATAGTGCTCTCCATGGTCTATCCGATAGATGCGGTAATCTTAAAGCTAGAATGAGGAGGGTAGCCCTCGGTATCACGATTTATATTATCCGGGAGGAGTGAAACAGTTGAGTCTTTGAGGTTGCATCATGCTCGTTGACAAACTTCTTCGAAAATTTCAGACCATGTTCTACATGATTTACTATTTCCATGAGTCGGACCACACCCTTTTGCATGTGGGATCACTTTAACTTTTTCCCTTATTCGGATGTTTGTGTGCTCAAGTTTTCGGGTCTAGCGATCGCTATTCCAATTAATGTGGCTACTGCTAGTCGCTCCTTGGTCGTGTCATTTCCGGTTTGGGAGTCCGCTGCTTCTCGAGAGGTTAGGTCCATTTTGTTTCGCTCTTTTTTTGTTTCGCCTCTAGTGTCTTGTTCCGGCT